CTGGGCGGAGAATTCATTTTATAGCAAAGTTTCAATATATTAATAATAATACATTAGTAATAACTAAAAAAGTTTATAAAGTTAGATACGATAATATACTTACTAGTCTTTGCCTTTGTTAGATCACCTGCACCTCCAACTTCTCTGAAATGTTTACGTAAGTTATGTTTGTGCCCATGCCAAGCTTTTTGCATTTACTTATCAATGGCCTTTTTGACGTTTGCATTTCTCACATCAACATCAAACAATGTCTGTATAACAATGAAATAAAAAGAAATACATTTGGTTGCGATAAAATAGTTCTTTGTAAATGAAAATAAACTAAATAAAGCAAGCTCTCTGTATATGATGACTATTTACCAGAAGTTGTCACGAAGTGGTGCTCTAATGCTTTCAGGTACAAACCTCCAATCTTTGTAATTTAAGTCACAATGCTTACGAACTATGTACCTAATTTCAAAGGAACTATCACTCCACTGATTCATTACCTATTCATGATTCATACTATTTTGTTAATGATAACAAAAACATAGAGAGAGAAAAAACATTTAGAAAGACTGGTTTAGAGAAACATTTCAGTTTTGTTAGAAGTTGATAGTTTATACTACTTATATGTTTTGAACTTAAAATGCAAAACTAGTAAAAACATACATGTTAATCTTTGGATTGAAGGGAGATCTTTGGATTTGTTCGTTTTTCGTACCTGCAAAGCATATAAAGAAAATATTATAGAAGCAACTAATACTAAAGAAATTATATTTAAAGTCTCCAAGTAATCTACATATATAATCACATGACTAAATAATTAAATTTAGTTGTACTTACTTATTCTATTCTATGTAGTGAATAGGTCATACAATGTTATGTATATGCTTACAAGAAATTATATTTAGTGTCATAGCTAGCCATCTATTCAAGAAATTATACTTTTTAGAGACAAGTACAATATGGTTGTCTCAATTTACTTGAGACGTAAAAATTTAGAGGCAACCATAATTTATCTAATGCTAAACATACTTTTAGGATAACAGAACATAACTAACTTGTCTTGAAGAGTTGTCTTTATAAACAAATTTTGTTGTCGTGAGTCTTAAAACCTTGCAATCTTAAGTGAGTCTATTCAAAACGAGCGGCTGGGTGTATGATCATTTTTTATGGTCAAACCTTTAATTTGTTTCAGGTTTCTCCAGAGTTGGGATTAGGGTCAGATAGGGCCACGAACTTACAAAAAAATGTCAAATAAGGCCTTATATAGGACGTTCTGTCCAGTCTTCACCATTTGGGGCGGTTCCCGGTTTAATTTTTTGAGCATCTTATTCATTAAGTCTAGTTTACTCATACCAAATTTCAGCTAAAACATTAATCGGGAAGGCATTCAAATGGGTTCTTGAAGATAACTGCGCAGTTATCTTCAAGAATTCATTTGAATGCCTTCCGGGTTGAAGTTTTAGCTGAAATTTGGTATGAGTAAACTAAACTTGATGAATAAGATGCTCAAAAAATTTCATCAAAAAGTTCCACCGGGAACCGCCCCAAATGACGACGGTCGGAGAGAACCTCCTATATAAGGCCTTATTTGACATTTTTTTTAAGTTCGAGACCCTATCTGACCTTTTTCTCTCCAGAGTTCTAAGGAGACTCTCTCGGTTAAATACTCACACTTTAAATCTTCATGAATGTGACATCGGAGAAAAATTATACGAGTAGTTTTTATTTTGTCTTCTTTTGATGTGGTATCATCAATTTCGTAGTATCACCCAAACTTTTGGCATTTAAGTGAATTTCAACATCTAACGCCTACGAGGGATAGCACTTACGGGAGATTTGACATGTTGATAACTACAAAAAGAAAATAATACGGAGTATTACTTTATTCTCGTATAAAGTATCATGACATCATGCAAAGTATCACAATTCTCATTCAAAGACTACATTCTAAAACATTTGAATTTGAATTCTTAAGTCATATTATATGCTAACTAAGTTTAAATACGACATTAGTTAATTAATTGGATGAGTAAATGGCTTATTGTAATCGATATTTATTCATAAATATATGTCATTAAAGTCTTTGAAAAAAACGGTGATGGGATATAAACTTGTTGAATTTACTTCTTTCTATATAAAAAGATGAGGTAATAAAAACACCTCCATATTCGAATGTATTGCGCGCAGATTATAGTAGTGACTATTACAAAGTAACTTTTTAGAAAATTTTTACGTAGTTGGACATATTAACAAAATAAGCATATTGTATTCTGCAAACACATAGCTAATAGTAACATATTCCATTTCAAGGCAATAATCATGAGTTTCACCTAAGGTGTTAATTGAGTCAAATAGTAGACTGAGTACTTCATATTATGCATGCTCATCACAACTATATTGGAACATGGATAATAAATAAAAATAATTTCATAACAGCAAATCTACCATGTTATGTTGTCGATTACAAGACAGGGGACATTTTTACCAAATGCTCCAAATAGAGAAAACAAAATCATAAGATTGAAAAGTGAGGCATACATGAAAATTATAACTACTTTAATACTCCATTTTTATATTATTTTTTCTTTCATTCAATTAATAAAATATATTTCAAATATAACTTTTTCTTAATTTAATAAATTCAATCCATTCAATTATTTCGATCACAACTTCACCAATTTTATTAGATTCAGTCAATTCATCTCATCTCGGTGTTATCAAAGACCCCTTAGAGAGATTAACCAACTTTATATAACCAACTTTGGATTAAGAGCTTATAGTAAATCACATATTCATTGTTTTGTATTGATAATGATGATAAAAACTATCAAATTATGTTCAATTAGGAAGATCAAGTACTCGTTTATTTTACAACAAACACATTCGTAGTAGAACTTATCGAAACAATTGCGGCTTAATTGATACTAATATACGTATAAGAATAAAATGGTTCTTAATTATACAGAAAATTAAAAAACATTGATAATGACAGATCACATCAAGCATTAGACAAACTAAATTAATCCAATGAAAGAACGTACCTCGTGTATTATACAAAGAAATCGTGGCGCGATGATAACAGCACGTTTCACTAAATCATTAAGCTTAATCACATTTTTAAAATTGAAAAAATACTTAGCGCAATTCATGATGCTTTTACCTCAAGTTTATGCGTGTTTGGCCATATTGGTGAGATACGGATACTTTTTATAAGGTGAAAAATAGGGCATCACAAATGTGATATGAAACGACTCATTTGCTATTCTGATGTGACGTTAATAACATAAAATGCCACTGCATACGTGAATGTACATAAATCATACCCTATTCATTAAAAACTTCACCTGGAAAGTAATTGGATCAACATCCGCCAAATCTTTTTTTTTTGTTTGGAAAGTAAATTTTTTTTTAGTAATTTACCAAAGAAATTTTAGTTTCTCTGTGAATTGATTTGTTTGTAATTTTTGTATTACCCATACATATGTAGGTACATCATTTTTCAAGATAATTTGAGCATAGTAAATACTGCTTACATATTATTCCGCCTAGGATCTTCAATATACTAAAGAGTAAAGACGCCTCGGGGGTAATGTTGTTGTTACTTGTGAGGTGTGATTTCTTCGTTCTCCTAAGTAGTATTGGCGGTTGTCCCTGAATAAACATGATTACCGCTGTGCTCCGAGGACTCAGAGAGATGCTTAAAGCCTTAAATGGAAGATATTATAATGGATTGGTGAATGCTTAATCGATTGGGAAATTGGATTACCGCTGAACTGTTTGATACTTTGATAGAATTGCCATCATGAACCGTTTGCATTTAAAAGCCACATTTAATGTGATGAGTTTCATCATGTATTCGTTCAGTTAAAATGTATTTTTAAAATTTTTAAAACTCATATGTCAGTACTAATTTAAATATTGTGATTAAACTTCAATTTCAGTTAACCATTGGAATCTTAAATTAGACAAACGAACGGAGCAAGTTTAATTTTCTATAATATCGTCATATGTATAACTCTAAGCTCATCATATAACAACCATGTGTTTCATAAATTATCACACATTTTTGTGCCTGGTAGCAAAATTCAATGAGGTCAGACTTCCTTCTAGGGATGGACCCGGGCCGGGCCAGTTCCGGTTCGGGCTCGGCCGGGCTTTTTTTTTGGGAAGGGAGAACCATAACCGGCCCGGGCAGCGGTTCCGGGCCGGGTCGGGCCAGTTCCGAGCCGGGCGGTTCAATGTATTTTTTCTTATTTTCTTTTGCTTTTCTAATTAACCCCTGACCCCCCTTCACCCCGACCCCCAAACCCCCCCAAAACACTCAGCCCAACCCACGAGAAACAAAAAAAAAATGAAAAAAAAGGTCAGGACCGGGCCCGGGCCGGCCGTGCCGGTTCCACTTTTAGGAGGCACGAGCCCGCCCCGTTTAATTCCAGGTTCAGGTGGCCCGGATCGGTTCAGGTGGCCCGGACCGGTCCGGGCCCAAACAGTACCAGTCCACCCCTACTTTCAATCACAATCTCAAATTCTTAATGGTATGATCACGTGTCAGTTCAACCTAAACTTCAACCGAACTCAATTTCAGTACTGGACCAAATAAAACTCATTGTATGAAATGGCCCGAGACCGGCCCGGCCCGGACCCAGTGGAATCCCGGGCCGGTTCCAGGCCTTCCCCCAAAAATAAAAAGCCCGGTTTGGCCCGGCCCGTAACCAGTCCATGCCTAAGCGTAACTGTGGCAGTGCTTCTCTTGAAAGAAAAAATGTCTTAAAATGGCCCATAATTTAAGGACTTAAATGAAATCACTTCTCCGTAAAATTACATTTAACTAAAGCACTTCCAAACAAACCCTATTGCAACTGAACACCTTCACTGGTAATGCCAGAGAAATGAAAACAGAATCTCAAGCACCTGGAGTGCAAGAATACAACCAATACATCAAACTTGTGCATGCAAGTCTGCGGCAATGGTTACAAGCGCACAGCACAATTGGTGAAAAAACTGCTGGAAAAGGCGAGTCCAAAAACTTATATTCACAATATATATAATACCCAAAGGGCCAAAGCTAAGCACAGATGTATCGAGCTCAAGCTCGAGGAATGTTCTGTATAGTGGGGAAATGGATATATTTGAGCTGAGCAGTAATTTTGCAGGACCAGACATATAAGCTCCATTTTAGGGATCGACTTTAGCCACTCAAATGACTACAGCGAAAAGAAAATGAAAAGGACCGAAAACAAAAGAATGAAATCAACTTGAAAAGTCTATATAGTAACAAGACGCCTTCATCTAGTAATGTAGTCTTGAAGTTGAAGGCATGTGGGCTCGAGTATTCACAACCGGAGAGATAACCCTCCGAGAGAACTTAACTGCTAAGCCTCCACAGAATTTCGGGTTGAGGAGGCTTGTTGTATATCAATGTTCCTTGTCGCATGCCTTCTTTTCCTGGAACTGCGTTTTCTAGATCGAGGTTTTGAAGTGCGTCGTTTTTCCGTGTTCTCTTGGATGTTGGTTAACTTTTCAGCAGTGGGAAGTTCAGGAGGGGCATCTGGCCATGGTGTGCGCTTTGCTGGGACTGTAACATCTAAAGGAGGGTCGATAATCCATCTGCGTTTAAAAAGGTATGGAAATGAGTGTAACACAAGTAAATGAGTGTAACCGGCATCTTTGTTAAAGCATCGATCTTATAAAACTATTGGTATATATAAGTTGCATAGAGCAACATTTTTAAATTTGTTAGCACATATATGGTAATCTTAATTTAAAAGTCAAAACAAAATTGTGGGTCACCAATATTACAATGCTGAAATAAATAAGAAAAGAGTGGAGCTGGTTCAGGGACTTTGGAGGAAAGAGTGGAGCATCGATTTTTAGTTTGAAAATTTATTTCTATTTGTATATTTTATACTATAAATAATGATATGATTTGTTGGACTGTAATGTGGACATATATATTTATATTCACTTTATTTTCAACCTTCTAAGCAATGAATGAAATAGAAAATAATTCTTGAAATAAATCCTAATATATGATTATAATAAGGACAGAAACAAAAATGTGACTTGATAACTTTTAGTGATTACGATAATTATATTGTGTTCAAAATTTACACCACAGTGACTATAAAAGTATATCCATAGTAATTGTAGTCACTTTTTGTCCATAAGATTTTCTATTTGTAATATTTTAGGAAAAACATCAAATAAATATCACACACTGTTTCCCTCCTCTCCAAAATACCCAAGTCAAACAATTAAGGTCAACTTTAATAGAGTGTTTTGGAAGCAAATGTTTTGTAGCCATGTAGGGCTTAATATACAACTTCATATATATTTGAGATTTTATAAATATTGAATGAATAAGATAATACATTTTCCTTTTTATTATTAGGGTCAAAGTGAAGGAAATGCATAATAGGAATAATAACTTCATACTAATTATTATTGAGAAAACTTCTTAGAGGGTCTAAAACATAAATAGAGGTTAGTAGTGCACAAATAGGACTATCATTGTGTTTTTCCTAAACTATGACTCATTCACACATAATTAGGGAAGTTTTATGCTTTTCATCGCACCAAATAAATAATATTTTGGGAATAAAATATAGTTACTCCTATTTGTGCACTATCTATGCTTTACTCCTATTTGGAGAGATTTCATTATACAATTAACTTTTCCATTCCATTTTTACATTTTCTACATTATAATCATTCCACTACTATTCATTTTTTATTTTTACAAACTATCTTAACTCATCACCTTCTCATGATATTTCCATGGCATTGGGAAAAACTTATGAATCTATGATACTGAGGTTTTCGGAGTTTCGCTCCCTGGCTTAAGAGATTGCCGGTATACATTTTTTGCGTAAATATATAATATAGACTAATTTCAAACTACTACTCCCTCTGTCCCAAATTAATTGGCTCGTTTGCTTTAGCACAAGTTTTAATTAAGTGGTTTAAAAGGTTGAAGATGTGGTTGAGATTTGAGTAGAAAAAATGTAAATTGACATGAGATGAAACGAGACCATTATTTCGTACATTCCAAAAGGAAAATAAGACAATTGTTTCGGGATGGAGGTAGTATTTGAAATAAAAATTCAATGTCACCAATGGCCAACCTTAGTCTCATAGTCTCACTAACAGGGCTACAGAGGGTGGTGGTTGCAGCCAACCCCGTCTGATTAATGTATAGCCTTCGTATGTGAAATTTCAACAAATAGTTTGTTTCCCTACCCCTTAACTTTGGGAACCCCTGACCCCCTCAGAGGGGCATTATACAAAGTCCTGGCTCTGCCCCTCATTGGGGTTATGGTGGTGATGAAGATGCCGTGTTTCATTCCCCTACTGCATGTATAATGTACAGGCTTCTTGAATGGCCACCATAAATATTGTTTGAGTGGAAATTGAACTTTCATATTCACAATATTTATAAGGCAAAAGGCTCACGACACAACAAATAAATATAAACCGGAGGTGTCAAACACGTTCTAATTCACCCAGAAAATCCATGCACAGTGCATACCTATGCATGCAGTAACTAAGCCTTCAAATAGTTTAACAGTAACTAAATTTGGTAATTTGGTATCTCATGTGTATATTCTATTCTGTCTGGATGTCCCAACCTTACATAATATGTTTAATACACAACTAAATAATGCACTCATGATGTAAAAATCTTCTTCAATCTACAACAAATTCCCCTACTCCCTTGCCGTATTGCTAAACCAGTACCTTTCATACAGGTGATACAGTACATATTTAACAGGATATGCTCATTGTTCAAAATTGCTGGTGATTGAATGTGATAAAATTGTGGCTAAATGGATGAATATGCTGAATTTTCTAAAATATTTATTTGAAATTTATGTTTAGGTATACTAAAGAAAAATATATATACAAACGAAGGTTGAACAGATGAAGTACAATTTCAGTTAATTATATTCCTACCATTTCAGCAAAACATTTATGCGGAGTAAATTTCACATTACCTTTTCTCATCATTAGCAGATTGAACCAACTCAAATGAAATAAGTTAAGTTAGGAGAAAAAGTTGGGTGGTAAGTCCAAGATAATGCCTACCAAATGGGCACTAAGATTCACTGAAGCTACATACTTGAGTAGTTGAGTAACTACTTGAGTTGTTTAAAACAAAATAAAAACAGAGAACAGCATGAAGCTTATGCAAGTGAAATGAGTGGCAAACGAACTAACCTGGCAGGGAATTTGCTGTCAGCCCTTGCCTCAACACGGAGCCACCAGAGCATAACCTTACGTCCACAATTTCCTAGAGGTTCCACCACTGAAGAATCCTTTAACAAAGATAGCGGGTTGTCAATACCTCCTCCAGCATCTACTACTCCATCCAAATCCTTAACCCATTCAGGCTTTTCTTCAGCATCTTTCCAAACTAATCTTGAATTCAACACAAAGCTAGACCATTCGAACTTCCTGGGTAACACTACTGCCCTATCTCCAATGTACCTTGCACTCTTCCCTATAAAAGGGGATGTGTCAAAGGTGTTCCAACCAATCAGATGGTCTGAAGCATTGCAAACTGGACCTTGAACTGGCAGTTGGAAATGCTTTTGATTGTTTTTTTGAACAGCTGATGGCAACTCTTCTTCAAAACCTCCTGAATGAGCAAGAATGCCAACAGATATTGCACCAACCCATTTCACCTTTTGGATCTCTTCAAAAAACTCCAGACTGTGCATATTACTATCATCAGCAAACATCACTATGCCATCTAGTTTTTCGGCTCTCACATGCCTGCTCAAGGGTACCAAACAAAAACATAAAATATGAAAAATATCCAATCTCAAGACCTGAGTGATTATAAATATTATTCAAAAACCCCAAATACACATGACTTTAGGATAATTAGCATCAGTGTGTGTTACTTTTACAGAAAATGTACACTAAAAATAAAAAGTAACCTTGAATTGATAGATACTGGATCGATAAAATCTATGAAGAAGAAGAAGAAGATCAAATTTTGCATACCTCAACGCGTGAACTCGCATTTTGGACTCCAAGTTGTGGCGGTCTTTCCATAGTATAGGAATTTTGTCACGGAATCCTATGTGGATAATCCGGAGTCCTGACTTGGCTAGCAGGGAGGATGTCTCATTTGTGGTTCCTCCAGCTTCAACAACAATCCAGATCACATTGTACGGAACATTCATTAGGGAATGCATCACTCCCGTAAGATGCATAGTCTGAAAAGTTCGTACATAGGTCGGAGTTATGGCAATCACAGTTCGTGGACTTTTGACCCCATATTGAAGCATCTGCTCCTTCTGAACGATCTCAATTATCTTATGAGCCTGCATCACCTCAGTTGAATTCGGGTGAGGCCAGGGCCTTATCAAGATCCCGTGCCGCCCAACCACCACTCTACTACTCGACCCCGCCGTCGTCTTATTTGCGGAAGTGCCACGATCCAAACTATCTTCTATAGAAAAGGCAGCGCCGCCGGAATTGTGGAGCGGAAGAGAGTAAAGGCTATAACTGTTGGTAGAAGAGTTGGATAAAAAGAGGAAAAACAAGGAACGGGAAAATCTGAAGCCAAGTACAAGACTAATGAGACAGCAGAGACAGTGAAGCACGAGCCACAAGACCGTGGCCGGCGATTTCCCGTCTGACGACGAATCCAGCGGCAACGCTCCTCTGAAGCTGTTGCTCCTCCGGTTCAACTTCATCATTTTCGTCCCTCCTCCACTAGAGAGAGGGAGAACGGTTGCTGAAATGGATGAGCGAAATAAAGGTACTAAATGGAGTGTAGCTATGAAGATTCAGATTAAGGAGAAGAAATGAAGAAAATGTTCCCGAAATGTTCGGTAAGCTGTCGAAGAAGAAGATGTCTGTAGAATGTTTGGTAAGATGTTGAGGTATAACATAACAGAGCTTCCTTAAAGCTGACGAATCGAGCAGATTGCTTGCTTCCTTCCTTCTTTACCGTTGTACGCCATGATCGAGCAGCTGAAATCGGGTACCAGATATAGATAATCTGGTAATGACCCAATTTTTGCTGGGTTTTCGGACATGTGTTCCGGAGGGTTTGAAGCTTCAGACCAGGAGAAAATCCAGATGGGCCTTTGACATTGAGAATCTAGGGGTAATTCGGTAATGTGCCACATATAATTGGGTAGTCAATTTATTTCTAATTCAAGTATTCAACTACCGATGGATATGTATTAACGCCTAAATAGTAATTATCTGTCCCTGGAAATAAAATATTAATGTACTTGCTAAAAAAGGATCCCAATTATTACCTTTACTTGTTTGCAAAAGAATGAATCATAGATTAGATGAATCTCAGCTACGTTACATTGAAGTTGGTACACATGTCATGTGGGTGGTTTTTTTTGTCGTATATTGAATTTGAATATATGGGATGCTATATATACTAATATACAATCAAATAAAAATTTATAAATAAAAAGGTGGTTCGATTCACTATGAATCTTTATGATTACATGTATGTAAAATGTGAGTGGAGTCTTATGTAGATACTTGATATATTTGATTTTTTAAATCATATTTATTCACACAAATAATGGTTAAAAAATGATGTATAATTATAAAAAATGATTTAGTTAAAAAAATTATTGAGTAAAATATATTGACATTGCTGGATTGCAGAGAAAAATGAATTGTTAGTATGAATACGTATAAACCAGTAGAAAATTTAATTTATTAGTGAGAAAAGTTGTGGTTAACCAGTTAACCTTATGAGTTATGAGTACAATAATTGTCCCTACGTATACGTAAAATTTTACATAATCATTGTCACACAAAAATTAATAATTGTTCTTACTTGGGCTTGGACGCATCCACTTCCCCTTCTTTTTCATTTTTGGATTTCTCTATTACTATTGTATGGATATACCAAAGTTTTTATTAATATAATATGAAAAATGTACCCTGACATTTATCTATGCTTGGACTCGGGGCGGGCCGGGTCCGGGCCGGGCCTAGGCCCGGAGGGCTTTTGAAGGTAGGGTGAAGGCCCGGGACCGGCCCGGGTTACCACCGGTTCCAGGCCGGGCCGGGTCCGGTTCTAATTTTTTTCTTGATTATTTCATCCCCTACCCCCCCCCCCATCCCCCCATCCCCCAAACCCATCAGAAACACCCAGCCCAACCCATTTCAACCCAGCCCAAACAAAAAAAACACAAAAACAGGCCCGAACTGGGCCCAGCCCGGCCGGGCCGATTCTCATTTAGGCTATCCCGGAACCGGCCCCAGTTTCCTCCCTCAACCGGGCCTAGGCCCGGAAGCGCAAGGACATCCTAGCGCAAGGACCTTAAGGGATGGAAGCACAAGGACATCCTAGCGCAGAATCACAATGTTTAATTTACTAATGATGTTACAATTGTAAAGATGTTACCATTGTAATGGACTTTCTCAAAATATTACTTTTGTAATCTAAATCATTCTCTAAAACTGTCATTCCCCAACATACTTCTTTTACTAAATCAAAGTGTGTGACTCTTTAATTTTGATGTAGAGGGTTTTTTACATGACTAAATATTAATGAGTAATGTTAGTTTTGATGTTTCAAAGGGGGCTACATATGAGTAGAGATGAACTGTTGAAGCTATTTATTGATGTGAGTTACACAGTGCAAAAAGTGTCATGTATATGTTGTCCCTCCTACTATACATGGGGATATCAAACCTCATAATTTACTATTTGAGGTAAGTATTAGTAAATAAATTATAATTCTTACTGGCTTATAATTATTAAACTTGTTCAGGGTTCATATTATTCATTAGCAAGGTCAAGCAATTCTTGCCGATTTCAGGTCATCAGGTCAGAAAGGACATGCACAGTCTACATGGCCTTGTATTTATGATCATCATAAAAATAGTAAGTTGATTAAATAATTTATAAAATCATTTTTTTTTCTTTTTTTTTGTTTTGAATTCAAATTCAATTGACCAGTTTTGTTGTTCTTGGTTTCTCTTTGTAGGAAGGAAGATGTGTATTCATTAGGGGTATGCTTGTTTTTCACAATGGTAAAGAAGATATATCAGGTGTACAAGCTCGATGAAATTCCTATTCCTTGACAAGACCTGAAAGATTATGCCCTTTTAAACTTACGTGGCATTGGTTTTTCAAATGAAGATTCAGTTAGACTTTGGGATTTGGTCTCTTCCCGTTTGGGTAAAAAAAAAAGACATGAGACCTTATGCACTTGAGCTGTGTAATGACCTGATGGCTCTTAGAGATCAAATCTGATATCATAGATAGTAAAGTGTTCATGTTACTCCATGCACTAGAGAAAGAGAAAATTTCATTTTGTTTCATCGTGCTACAAAAGCTTTCTTAATTGTCTTGTAGTAAAGCATTGTTTGTGATTGCACAATGCAATTGTTCTTTCTGAATTCTAATCTAATATTACTTGCTAGATTTGCATTTAGCTCCTCAAAGATTTGCATCTTGGATGTTAAACAAACAGTCAAATTCCAACTGAACTTTGCTCTAATACCATGTTTAGACCCAGGAATCAATCCTAAAAGATCAACTTGATAGATGGAGGAGCCCAAATCTTAATATAACATTTTGTTACTTCACAATTTTCTGGTGTGGGATTTTAACACCCCTCCTCATGATCACGCACTTCATCAAGATCGTGTGCCATCATTAAATTTTTTCGGCGATTCGTCATTGTCATTTTTAATCATTTCATCATTTTTCATAAGGGGTCCACACCATATAGGTTACGGATCGATTCGGTTTGGATACCATGTTAAGATCGAGGGTTATATCCTAAATGGTCAACCTAATAGAAGGATTAGCTCAAAGTCTTATATAGTATTTTGTAAATTTTCGGTGTGGAACAAATAGTCTAACAATACTCATTCCATGTTATTTTTTATTCTTCATTTGACTTTTTGTTTCTTTTCTTCTTCCAACTAGTCTGTGACTAGTGACACTCTTTCTACTCGATTTTGAGTTTATCACTTTTAGTCTCTTAAGTATTGTGAGAGATACTTTTGGATATTGTTTTTAAACTATATCACTTGTAGTACTTGCGTGATGCACAAGAAGAATTACATTTCGTAGAATAAATTTATTTAACAAAATCAAACTTTAATACATTGATGGGAAGGTTCATATGTGGAATTTGTGATTATAAGATAGAGTTAGGGTAAAATGTTTTTAAATAAGAATGATAAAATAATGTTTACTAAATCATTTTATTTTATTGTAGAATATGTTTGGTAATATTATGGCAGGTACGATTTAAAGATTCTTTATAAAAAAGATTCATTTTCTCTCTAATTAGATGGTGTGGTGACAGTTATGAACTAAAATACTACAAATGGTCATGCTTTTAAAAAATCCTAATCACATAGTAACATATATAAAAATGAAATAAATAATCTTTAATTTCATGGCCTGAATTGTATAATGATCACGATAAATATTACCCGAATTACCTTTTTAACCGATTTAGCTGAATCCATCTCCTCTCTTACGAAGAACCCTATATATTTATAGTGGAATTAGGAGGATAAGATCATATCTAAATACAATCTAATAAATAATTAATACTTAAATATATGAGATAATATCAAAGCTTGTCTCAAACTTGATATTATCCTATAGCAAATATTAAATATCAAAATTATTAGATAATATCAAGATTTATTGGATATATAAAAATTTCGATGTCTACAAATGCCCCTTGGGACTTGCTCGTTTGACAGCGAAGGTCTAGAAAATGGGGGAGTCTCGGAACAATTTTCACCACATGCCTTTGCGGTCTAAACTTAGATGGCTGTTTTGAACTTTTTCACAGAAGGGGCTTTGAGATTCAAATGGCATATTCCTTCGCCACTTTTTACTTTAAGGAAAGGGCCTCCAGATTCAAATGGCACAATATATCTTTCGTTTGCAGTTCTAACGAAAGGGCATGCAAATTTAAATGACTTATTCTTCCGTTTGCGTTTTGACAAAAGGACCTTCGAATTCAAATGACTTGATCTTTGTCTCATTCTTGACGAAAGGGTCTCCAAATTTAAGACATGATCTTCTTTAATATCATTCATGCCCCCGTTAAAAGATCGGGTGTCACGCCCCGGATTGCCCAAACGCGCTAACAACTGTCACACAATTCGATTAAGGAAACTGCGGTCCAACTCACTTGAACCATGCAAGGCATACATGAGTATCATTCACACAAGTACATCCATAAACAATCATAAGTAAAACATTTCAAAATACATAGTGGAAACAAATTACTTTTAATTTCAAAGGCCACTCAGGGAAAAAGAAAACATTAGCACACAGACTTCCTAATCATTTATAGTTTAAAATAGTTCCAATAAGCAACATTTTGTTTATATCAAAATAGAACTGGAAGAAGCACAAACCACATCTTCTCTCCATAGATCACCCAAAGCAAACGGGAATAGGAAGCAAACTATAACTTCTACCTGAAAACTTTGAGGTGGCCTCTCTCGTGAAGGGTAGGTAAGTACTTTGAAGCATTTGAAACGTACAATGACAACTATACGATATAAAATCAATGTTTCAAACACAAGACCCTCAATATAGGGTGATAATAGACTATGGGCGTAGCCTATAGCTACCCATTTCAAATCACAAGTATAGTATATATATCAAGTCGAATAGCCGACTTGTAGGTCCATTTGTATTTCAATAGCAACAGACCATCCACCCACACTTACATACCATATTCATCGGGAGGGTTACCATGCTACCCCTGATATACACTTAATTCCCATAAGGGGAGTTACACGTATTATAGAGGTTACACACCTCACGTATCGCATACAAATATGATCCAGAGGTTACACACTTCACGTGTCCTACACATATATTGTCTAGAGGTTACACATTTCGCGTGCAATACATGAATTTCATCTAGAGATTACACACCTCGCGTATCCTACACGGATATCATCTAGAGCTTACACACCTCGCGTATCCTACACGGATATCATCTAGAGGTTACACACCTCGCGTATCGTATAGGAACATCAACTAGAGGTTACACATCTCGTTTATCATATATGAATATCATCTAGAGGCTACACACCTCGCCTGTCATATACAAATTATGTTCTAGAGATTACACATCTCTCTTATCCTACATGA